ACACATATAACTCTTTTCACAAAGACATATATATATTTAAAGGGACAGGGACACCTCTAGTGTAATATATAGAGATATATATATGTATATAATATCACTATCTCACCATATATTTTATTCTCAACACATATACACATATGTCTCTCTCTCTCTATCCAAACTTAAAACTAATCTACCACTCAACTGTATAAGGAGCAATATCACTGTTTCCTGGAAAAGAAATGAGTGTTGTATATATAACCGTGCACTAGCGCGCGTAAACACAGAGGGTTCTCGTGCTATATCTATCTATATATCTATCTCACTATTTACCACATGTGTATGTGTATATATATATATATATATATATATATATATATATATATATATATATATATTCAAATAGGGACTTTCGATTGCATGATATAAACATGAGCAATGAGATTACACTTCATTACTAAATTATCTCCCAAAGAAGAGAAGATGATTTTTGTGTTTAATCCTTTGTCCCTAATGACTCTTTTTTTTTATCTCAACTTCACTAAACCTTAAGCTTCTGTTTGCACTACTTTTAGTTTCATCTAAGAAAAGTTTATAAAAGAGCACAGTAATGACTACTTGAACTAATAGAGTAATCTTTATAATTTTGATTGATCCACTCATAATGCCTAGAAAGGATCCACTAGTGCTATGCTAAATAGCTACAAACCAACCTATTCACCATTCATAACAAATATAGGGGAGGTTTACTTTTTATCCATAGAAATATGAAACAACTTATGGTAACCACCGATACACTAATATTAATCCTACCAACTTAAAGTGTCACCTTAAGTTGCTAATATACTCTCATGAGCCCAAGCACAAACTCATGTAAATGGTATATCTCACATCCATTTTATGAGCCCAAGTGAAAGCTCATGCAATTGGTAAAGATGCATGCAAAGTCATAGTAATGAAACGTGTACCCACTCAGATAATTATTTTTATCACTACATATGCAACTACCCAATCTCATTGGATAGTATTTACTGAGATATATCCTTTGATACTAAATATAATATATATATATTTCACCTTCTACCTTATAGTGATTTACTATAGGATAACCACAAAGCAGAATGTAACCCTTGGACATGTGGGCTAAAGGTAACAAAGTAGAACCTAAGTTTCAAGACCTTGGGCCATTGAACGAAGGGATAGAGTAAACTCCCAAACTATAATCAAAGAGCGAAGTAACTGGAGCACAAAATAACTTATGAACATACAACCCAAAAAGCAAATGGACAAAAGCATGGAGTGACATTGAAATAGTCTTAGAGCATTTAACATCCTAACGTTAAAACTAGCATGCAAAATAGGAGTTTGGCGCTAATTTAATATACTAGTAGCTTAACGTGAAGATATAGATACTCCACTAACTTAAAGCATAGTTTAATTCCCACTTGCATGCTTTTCTTTGTTTTGAGTTCGACTTGGGTCCAAATTTAATCTCCATACCACCCCCTGCTTTCACCCAAGTCTTAGGAGTTACTCTCTAGGACAATCATGAAAAGTTACTAAATATGGAATAGGACTAGATTTCTTACTCATATTCAAGTAGAATATTCTCCTAGAAATAAGTTTCTTGATGAAGTGGAAGTTGGAAGCTCATTTTATTATGTTTCACTTCTAAGTGAAATCATAGTTTATTAAATTTATTTTCACCCCTAATATGATAGGAAGAAATTTAAATTTATAGATATTCTAGTATAATTTACTAGGTTACATTTATTTTTTTGCTACAAATGTTATTCTACTAAATTGTTAACTTTGATAGTTGTAATTTGAGAATTAACTTATTATGGTTTGATTGAGAAAAGGCAAAATAATAGTTTATTACAGGTTAGCATAAAATAAAACCTAAATTACAAAAATGTTATCACTAAGTACATTTTACCTCAAAAACTTATTACAAATCAAGGAACACATACAGGAAATCAGAGAGTCAGGAATAGGGAAGTGTCTCGAAAGTTAGGAATATGGTCTGCGGGTCAGGAATTTGACGTCAGGCAGGAATGTGGCAAGAATTGGGGGATTCCTGACAGTGAGGGTATTTGGCAGACACGGTAAGCTATCATCTAGTGATATTGAGGGACTAGTCTTAATATGCGAGGATTCTTGTCACTAGCTAGTGCAAAACACAATGAGATGGGAACTGTTTACCAAGCTAAGTATGCTTAGTTAATAGCATGTAGGAATTCTATCCTTATACTTGTCCGGTCTAAGTATACTTGAAATGCCCAGTTAACTCCACTAGCACAAAAGGGATTGATAAAGGGTCCAGCAATACCAACCTTCTGCTATTGTGGCAGTAAGGAAAGAGTGTCTGTAAGGACTAGCCGACAAGTAACTTTTGATACCCAAAGTTACATTTGCGACACTCTCCCCCCCTTAGGGAAGATCAACATCCTTATTGATGTATACTCCAGTATAGACTACTGGCATAGAAACAACTCTAAAAAAATTTCACGGTGATCACACTATGTGAGAAATGCACCAACTTAAATGAGTTAGGGTAACCTCTGTCAGGAATCCCCCAATTCTTGCCACATTCCTGACTCTCGCCGGATTCCTGAACTGCAGACCACATTCCTGATTCTTGAGACACTTCCCTATTCTTGACTCTCAAGACACTTCCCTATTCCTGACTCTCTGATTTCCTATACGATTCCTGAGTCTCAAGCCACATTCCTGATATTGATGTGGCGCCTCCTCAACCTCAGCTATATTTAGGCTGTCCTCAATCCGGTGGAGCTTCATCAACCTATAGTATATATAGGTTAGCTTTGTTCCATTTCTCCACAATCTGAATCAACGCCAGTCTAAGGCCTCTTCTTTGTTTCCACTAGCTTTTCTCTTTGTCTTTTGCATTTTCCAGTCTTAATCTTGTTGGGGGTCTTGACAGTTTGATTCAGATTGTGCTTTTTGCTTTTGTTTTAGCTCGTTTCGATTATTTGTTTGCCTTTGTCTTTTTTCCCCTTTGTTTTCCTTTCTTCTTGCTGATGGAGTCTCCAAGCCATCCTGATTTCTTTGCCGAAGTCCTTGCAAAAATCCAGTCTGAGAATACCGAGCTGAAGGCGACCCTTTTTCGCATGCAGCAGGAGCTTGCTTCACTTTTGGCTTAGGGATCCAGCAAAGTTCCTGAACTGAAGGTGAGTTTCCCGGCAAAATTTTCAGGCAAGCGTTCGGAGCTTCACGGATTTTTGAACCAAATGGAGCTGATCTTTGCACTTCAAGATCGGCGGTACCCCACTCCCGAGTCTCAAATTGGCGCAATTGGGATGTTGCTCGAAGGTGCAGCTTTGTCATGGTTTTCTCCTCTTCTGGAGAAGAGCATGAATGGGGTCGTGGTTC